GGTGGCGCACACCGGGTCGATCTCGTATCGACGGGTCCGGATGAGTCACGTCAGATTTATGCCGCTCCGGACGTGGCGGGAATTTCCATCGAATCCTCACGGATCCTCGGGACTTCCTTACGACTACGCACGCAGACGGAGACGTGACTTCGCGATGTATCATCAGTATGAAGTCAGTCGCTTATCTTGCGCTTTCGGTTCGATTACTTCTAATTCTACATCTTTGAATTGAATGTCAGTAATTTTTAATGAGAAAATTATTTTATTTTTAATCGCGGAGATTTGTTCGAGTTAAAATCGTTATTATTTTCAAAAATAATGTAATTATTGTCAACGCGCCGTGTACATTCTTAAAATTCTCATGTTATTCAATTTGAATCGCAGTTTACCGATGTTAAAGCTTCGGTATCATCTCGAGCGACGACGAATTCTCTCTTAAGTCTTGAAACCAAGTGAATTGTTAGCCACGTCGCTCTTATCCGACTCCTCCAGGAGCAGAGCAGCCTGTCTATTTCAAGCGGCTATACAGGGTTTGCGGATTTAATTAAATTCGAGATGCCGTCGCGTTCGAGAAACCGGCGTTCCTTCCGTTTTCTTCACTCTTAGATATCGCGAGGAATCGAAACTATTTCGCGGCTGGAGATTGATAGAGACGTATCTGAATACGGAATCCTCGCGATATTGTTATTAGTTTGGAATTCGAATTATCTGAAGATTAGCAGAAGAAGAAATTGTATACGCGGAACAAGAAAGTTGACTCGACGATTGATTCTGACATTAATTTGTTTATTTAGTTTTTTTTCTAGTTTTTATTAAATTATTACTTAAAACATTATATTAGTTTTATTTTATATACAAAAATGTTTGTTATCTTATACGTACAGGGTGTCTGAAGAATTTTGATAAAATCGAAGTGTTCTGTTGAGATAGATTAGATCAATCTAAAAAATCACTTACCATTTTGAAAAATTCACAATATTAAGTTATTAATTAATTAATTAATGTAGGCCAATGAGGACGCCGTGAAAATCAACTGATCACAAGAAACTGCATCACATGCCGCTCGTTGTTTGTTTTCTCCGCATCTCATTTGCTAGGATATTGCATTAAGTAGGCAAGTTTTCTTTACAACTAAAAATCCATACACATGATAGAATTCAGATCATCGCTTAGTGGCTCACATTCATCAATTAATAATTCATATATAAATATTGCAAATTTGTCAAAATGATAAATTACTTTTTTATTTGGATTGATCCAATCTATCTTCACACTTTGGCTGTGTCAAAAGTTTTCAGACATCTTGTATATATGAGTCTTTTACATTGTGTGCTCTGTTACACACACACACACACACGCACACACATCTTCGCAAAACTTTCTAACATAATCTCGTGCAGAGTTCTACGAGGCTGTACATGTTCTCGTTATGAGATTGCGATGCGTACAACGATGATACTATCTCGGCCGCAAAAATCTTCGCAAACATATTCGCCGTCGGTGTAACGTGCCGAGGAAATACGGTATGCAAATAGATGCAATCCGCCTGCAACCAACACACACCTGCCGCAACTTCAGCATTAAGCTCTTGCGAGACGCTTTACAAGAGAACTGATCTGCATGACGGCTCGTAACTTTGTCGGTTTTCGCATAATCGTTTCGCGAGCGGACAACATTTTCCCCCAAAACTTGTTTGCCTGCCAAAATCGAAGCTTCGCCGCGACGAAAATACCGCTACACGGTACAAGTTTGTTGCGGAAACGTCGGTTTTTGTGATCAAACTCGGTCCAGACTGTGTCAAAGCTATTATAAACACAGATATCTTACAAAAAGCAACGTCAATCTTTATATTCAGTTACAGAATTGAATGTTTCGCGATATACTTTTTTTCTATTTTATTTTTAGAATTGTTTTTTTTTTTTTTACGTAAATAAATTGCATAGTTATTTTTATTTTTATATATTTATTATTTTTTACTTTTATATTATCACAGATGATTACATAGATACTAAAGATGTGACTCTTTTTGCAAAGTGTTAAAAATTTTTGATTTTACCAACATTTTACAAATATCTCAAATATCTCTTGTGTAAAGTAGAACTACGTTTAATCTCGTCTGATGTGTAATGTGATACAGAACAACTAATTTTAAATCTTAAAACGTGTTAGAGAAACCGCACACCGCTCGCTTGATTCCTTACCTCGCTCTTTGTCGTCTAAAGCCTCATCGCGTTCTCTCGTGATTTTACACGGACTCCCGGTGCATGTACCTGAAAGAGAATGAGAACGACGTTAGATCGCGAATTGCAGTAGCCGGCGGCGGTCCCGGAAATTGCAGCTGCGCGAGCGGACCGGCTCAGGAAACTCACTGACGGTCTTTCGTGAGGAGCACGTCACAAGGTAAACGAGGACCCTGCGTGGATCAAGTCCGTCGTAATTCCGTGTCCTTCGGACTGTCGTAAACCTTAAAGTGAATTAGACCGTCAAAGCTGCGGCAGCAAGTTTTGGTCCGGTTTGTCGGAAACTCACGTTTACGACGATTTGTTCGTTCGATTTCCGACCCTGATGGCTTTACCCGTAAAAAGCATTAAGACACAATTTGCTGAGAAACATCGGCCTGATTTCTCAGAACGTAAAATGAATAAAAAACAAATTCTGTTTTGAATAACCGATTTATAACATTGTTCAACACTTTTTTGGAAAAAAAATCAATTTTTGTATAACTTTCTACTTATATATGTAATTTATATTTCAAATAAACAATTCACAAAATATTTACATAGCGTCGTAATTAATAAAATTCACGTATGGCTCTCATTGACCAAACATTTCATGTTGTATAAAATTCACGATTGTATAACAGTGAATTTTTATGACGTGAAAACGCGATAAAAATTCTCGTTTTTTTGTTGATGGCTTTCAACAACGCACACGCTCGCGAAAATGAAGATATTCTCGCGCAATTTCGGCAAACTCTCGGGCGCCGAGATTGACTTAAGATATATAGTCTTGCCCCAGACGTGGAATTACGTGGGATAAAATGGGCGCGAGAGTGCACTAAACACCCGCGAGAAAATCGCTTTTAAAGTTCGAGACTGCACCACATCGGTGCGCCGCATCAAATCCGCTGGGGAATCTCGAGAGCATTAGAGATAGCTCTCGAAAATTTTCGTGAGACGAAAATCGTGCGGGATACAAGTCGGCATCCGATTTAATTCCCGGAGATTCTGTCGGCGCGAGCCGACAGTACAGGATATACGTATCGTCGTCGTCACGTCTCGATTTTCCACGGACGATTTAATTCAGTCTTAATATGTCATTTCTTATAAAATTTTCTAAAGTAATTAATGAAGTTATTGAGATAAGAAATATTTAAAAAAAATGACACACAATTCTAACAAAAACGTTTTGTACAAATGACATTAATGACGATTGTTGCTTGTAATCTCAGAGCAATTCGCGCTCTCTAGTTCACGGTTTTGCGGTATATAAAATCATTTTTAGTTCTCACAATCACAAAATTTAACAATATATAGTTCTCGGAGTCAGTTCCAACATAATGACGCTGTTGTTACATTCGATCGAATCGAGAAAGACGCTTTTTTTGACGTAGGAATTGTGTTGTCAGGATTAAACGGTTGATCTAGTCTCTAATCGCCGGACAACTTCCTCAATTATGGAGACGTTGCACACAGTCTTGTAATAGCTGTGCATAGAGCTCGTCGCGATGCGCAATCAATAGATAATTGGCTCCCGGATGTGTATACGGTGTTATGTGCAGAACGATATATTCCCGAACTCGTTGTTAATTCTGGAATCGCTAATGTGAAACGATCGCCATCCAGCATTAATACGGGTTTCGCGTTCAATATCGGATTATGTGACACCGGTGTGCGGGAGGATGGTTTCGTTTCCTGTAATACGGAACGGAATCGTGTAAATCTTATTATCGCACTTGCGAAGATTATACCGATAACGATCTGCTTTTGCGCAAATTCGTCAAATACTTGTTATTGCAGGAAAAGAAGCGAAGATGGTCACCGAACAAAACCCATATATATTTCTTAATATAATTCACACTCAAGTTTTGTTTGACTCTCTCGCGCGGCTCGTCTTATTGATTTTTCGTCATGTTTACAGCGCGCGTATTAATATCCTAACGATTTTCAAAATATGATATCGCAATTAGATTGATTGTCAAAATGGAAAGCAAATATCGATCAGAGAATTATATAACAACAACATTAACAGAATTATATAACAACAACACGTTAACACGTTGAGTGCCGAACGTATTTTGTTGGTTTTGCCTCCAGCACCGGAACGAAATTTTCCCTATTAGAACCACAACGTTGATAAAATATTGATATAATTGAATTGTTCAAAATTATCATGCGTAGTGCATTAATCTCGCTGCCGGTCATTCATGATCATTATTCTAATATTAATTGCATTTACAAAATTATAAAACGTTATTCTTTGCAAATTTTATTGCATTTTTATTGAGTTTGATAGCGCCCCGGTTAGTTATGACTCCCACGACGCCAATAAAAGTTGCAACGCCAGTAGTGACGGTCAGTAATAACTATCACGGTCAGTCACGCGTTAATAATGCAATATCTTTATTACCTCAATCCTGTAAATTTCTAAACTTGTTGTCCGAGCGATTTTTGAGAATGAGATATTTTTTGGTATGTTTTTTTTTTAGAAAAAAAAACAAATAAAAACAATATCAAAACTAATGTCATCTCTTTAATTTAGAACGGTGAATAAAGATCCATTGAATTCTTACAAACTTTTGCAACGTCTTAACTAATAAAAAATCGTGTTGGACATGAATGTGTGTCAAGAGTACAGTATTAAGATTGAAGACATAGTTGTATCAACTATTTTATTTATTTTTTATCATATCCTACATTATTGCATCACAGACTGTTTTTATTTAAGTTTTTTATACGTGTGAGTTTTATCTTAGTTTATTCGTTGCATATGTGTTACAGATACGCGGATCGCACGTACAGGTCCCATCAGCGCGGTCTGATCATATATGGTCCAGCGACCGCCGTGCCGAATCCAAGCGGCAATGTATCCTCGACAACGATACTCTCGATACTGGCTCGAGTGCTCTCGAACTCGTCCAGATCCGAACCCGCGCCGACCAGAAATTTGGTGGTTGGCGGCGGTGGAATCGCGCGAGAGCTTCCGGTTGCGAACGCGACCAATAACACGACGATACCACGATGTCCCCTCATTCCACCGAATCTGGGTAAGTTTGCGATTAATAGACAGATTATTACAGACTATTGACAGAAGTTTAATTACGATCATCTTCTTAACAAATTTAATCTATTCGGTATTATACAACCAATTTAGATAAATATATATAAATTGTACATATAGTAAACAGCTCTCTTTTTGGTATCAATTGTATGTGAGAGAAATAATAAGGTCAGTAAGAGCCAAATATCGAATGCACGTGTGAAATATTTTTTAATGTGTAAATTACATTGTAATTTCGAATTTAACTCGAAAATATCTACATCGGATGCCTTAGTTTTAGATGCTTTGAATTATTTTTTATACAAATTTGTAGATTTTTAAATTGTATGTATTGTCCCAGCAAATAGCATATGTTACTCTTTCGTCTTCTTACATCGCCTCGTCTTCTCTGTCTTTCTTCCAGTTGGCCCAGTGGCCGTTAGTAAGTCACCGCCACCTTTGTCCGAGATGGAGAGGTCATTCGTGGAGGTGAAGGCAGGCGGTAGCGGTCGGCCCGCGGATTGCGTTGCCAGGCATCGCGTTGCCATAATCATTCCGTTTCGCGACCGGCCGCAGCATCTGCAGACTCTCCTCTATAATCTACATCCGATTCTGCTGCGTCAGCAGATCGACTATCAGATCTTCGTGATCGAGCAGGAAGGTGAGTGACTCGCGAACCGAATTGGCCGGTTGCTTATTATATTTAATTAGATTTAATTAAGTCTTTAAATTTTGTATTTATTTTTTATGCGAATATTTTATTGCATGCAATAATTGTAATATTTATTGCTCACTGTCGAATCTGATATATGTATGTATGTTATACCACGTCGAATTTCTGAATTTTTATTTCCGCAAGCCTTAATGTTTATATACGCTCGACGTGTGCTTCTTCGTGTCTCGACAACATCTTCCCGTAGCGTACAGTTTGTTTTCACAAAGCGAATATAAACGTACGATCGTCTTCGAGCTTCTTCTTGCCAGCATTGCACTATTGGTGCGTGTAAGCTGATACTTGGTTACGATTTATTGCCGTCTAGCGGATGTTCCTCTTACTCGCGTATTTTCCCGCTTGTCTCTTCGAGCGAAGATCTTTCGTAAGGTGAAATGCTCTGAGAGAGAAGGAGGAGGAAGAGAAGAGACGTTGAGTCGCGAGACGTCGCAATGAAGAGAGGGTGCTTCAAAGTTCCCGTCGCCGTCTCCAAGCTCTCGGGCTTAATTTTTAATTAAATTTGTGTACGTCCTTTCTCTCTTCCACCGACGCGTCTTTTTTTAGCTTAAAGTAATCGACCGACCAAAGTAACGCGAGCGCTCTCGAACGAAAAAACGAAATAGTTCCGCCGACGCAACGCCAGTTATTTTTAATGAAATTTTTTAAGGCGAGCTTTTCAGACTTTATCTCGTGTGCGCGTACACACAGTTGGTTGTTTGTCCGGACAAAGCAAGGCGCGCTCTCTCGACCGATGGCCGGAGGTAAACGGCGAATAGAATGCATTAATAGAACGCATACTTAATTTACAAGCCATAATCGTTGAAAATAAATTTCCTCCCGCTATAATTTGATCAGGATCGCATAAATGCTGTTGCCGTTCCAATGTTCTCGATAAACAAATAAAAGAGATGATACTTCGTCATGGATTTATTTCAATCGAAGTCAATTATGTCGTAACGGCGTTAATTTACGACAGATCGCCAGGCAATAAATTCTCGCGATAATTTAACGAAGACGATATTTCACCGCGCCGGCGCGATTAATTACAACGAAACAACAATTTATCCTTGCCGTTGCTGCGCCCGATCCTTAGAAAATGCGCCAAACTGTTATTCACTGTCAAGCCGCTTTACCGCCGCAGGTTCGGAGACCTTTGCGCGTAAGTCAGGCTTAAGCGCTATCTAGTCCTGGAAATTGAGGACCAACTGCCGTTTTCCCTGTGCCTTTCCGCAATGCGGTATATCGAGGCACAGGTTGATGGGGTTCGTGTACGTACAGCAAACGCTATACACAGATGAACAAATTCTCATGAATTTTATTCGCATCCGATTACAAACAAATTTACATCGTAATACGTACCCATTATGTAAAACAAAAGTGAGTTGGATGTCATATATAGTGTGCACGCACTTACAAATTCACGCGTTTTAATTGTCCGAAATGGTTTCACGGACACGGTTGTTCTCGGTCGCAATTTTGAAATTTAAATCGCAAGCTCCCTCTTCACCTCTGCCCTTTTCTCTCTTTCTCTCTTTTTCTTTCTCGTGTGAAGACCGCGCCTCAGCTCGAAATTAAAGCTCGAAGTCAGCTCAGCCGAATACTTCACTTTCGCATAATTAGTACCGTGCTGAATATTTATCAGAATCTGCTGTTCCAAGGGAGGGAGCTATTTGGGAGGATTGGCAAACGAAGTTGCGACTTCGCGTTTCCAGCAGATCCGGCGCAGATCGACCGCACACGAATCAGGAAATTAGATTCATGTACTTGTCGTCTCTGACCTGAACAAAATCAATTTCTCGATACGGGATAAGAGAGAGAGAGAGGGGGAGACAGACCGAGAATCTCTCGAAATGTGAGAGAAGAAAGACTCATCGTGTCAGAAGTGTTAATCTTCGCGCGATCCTCTCTCTCGACAGTGATTACTATTTACTATCTGTTTATACGCGACAGAATGTTCCTATTTTTTTTTACGTGGAAGATTTTAATAGGATGTAAAAAATGTTAATCTTGCTCCCATAATCTTTCAATGTCTGTTTTTACTTTGGAATTTAACAGAATGTGCAACACAAAAATGCGTAGAACGTCGATCTATAAGTTTATAAATTACTAGTGAAAATGAAACGACAAACGTCGTTTGTCGTTCTCTCGCGGACAAACAATTATTAGTCGCACCTGTCGACGGTAGCCGAGACGGGGTCTCTCCGAGCACTTCTCACGATACAGAATCCGCCCGTAAATATACTGGGCTCGCATAGACCCGTCGGAAACACCGGCGTGCATTCGCGCGAGAGACTCTTATTATCGTAACTGTATACAGCCATTAACAGAGAGGCTGCGGCAGTGTGTGGCTATCGATACCAAAGGAAATCCTCCTCGCTGTCTCTTCATCATAGCGTTTGTTAAGTCTGATACATGGCAACAGCTTGGAATGTGATTAAATTTTTTTACGTCGAGAAAATTGTGAGAAGAACAGACAGTGAGAATTCCCAGGCTGTCTTCGTATGTAACGAATATACGGACACACATGGTCGCGGATCAATACAGTGTAACAATTTTATTGAGCAAATTCGGAAAATTGTAAGATAAATAATAATTTAACACTTTTTTACTCTTGGATTGAAAAATTAAAAATACAAGCTTGATGCAAAATTACGCACACAAGAACAATATCGCGAAATTGTGTTGTTTTTTACTGACGAGAGTAACAAAAGCGCTACTAGGCGCGGCTATGCGTGAGGTGTACACGCGACGACAATATTTCAAAAATTTAAATATTTTTCAAAGACACACACACACACACACACACGCGTACACTATAGACGTTGACGCGCGTTCTTTCATACTTAAAATAAACGCGGCAACGCGTAATAACTTTATATTGCACGGACGTAATTCTTTCGAACGAATAAATAAGCGAGCGAACATTCCCCCTTCTCCGCGGATATGGAAATGAATTAAGCTCGACGCGCGCGCGCGCGCGCTAGTTGTGGAAGTATAGTACCTGTCGGGGACAATAACCGCTCTCAGACGGTGTTCATTAGTATTTACTAGAATTGCAAGGAGCGTCTCTCGCGAACGAGAGATGTTTAATAAAGACGTTTTAGTCGGTCGTCTTTCATCGTTTCAGCTGCATCCTCTTCACGTATTATGTATATTAATAATTAAGCGACGGCAGAGCAAATTGACAGAAACGAGAAAGACAAACGCGGGGATTTCCGAGTTATTAACAGCGCTTCCCCTCTCGCTTGAATTCTTCATTATTATTTTTAACCCCCCCGCGAGCTCTCTCTCTCTCTCTCTGCTTTCATTATCTTAATTAAATTTACAATTTATATTTCAAACCAGAAGGGGTTTACTTTGAATTTTAATTCCTTTCACCAGGCGTGTTTGTGTAAGCTGCAAGCGTCTTTCGCTGCACAAGTGCCAATATTCGACGTGTCGGGGATGATGAAAAGCTGTAATGTGAAGAATATCATTTAGATCGCTTGACATTTTCACATTTTCAGTCTTCAACTCGCGCTCGCGTACCTCTGTCACCCCCCACGGGGCGATTGTTTCCCCATTGTGAAACTGTTTGCCGTATCCGACGCTGTGCACTTGCTTGCTGCGTCTCTTTATCGTCACTCGTCGTCGTCCACATCAACGTCCGCCTCTCTTTTATAACGTCTCTCTTGTCGCTCGTCGCCCCGGTATCGGAGCAATATATAAAGAAATATCTGAAATACCTGGAAATAAACTTTCATCGAGACACTTTTCATCGAGACCGGAAAAACAATACTGTATATCGTGCGGGACGCTTGCCTTTCTCGAGGTCTTCTTGACTTCGTCGTAAATTTTTTCTTCTACTTTCCTTCCTTCGTTGTGTGTTGGTCGATCCTGTAATGTAAGGGGATTCGATCAAGCGCGAAGTCTATTCAGCCAATAATAATCGACGGCGGACAAGGAATGCCGTCAGCTTTGAGAGCATTTTACCTTTACTTTTCTTCGTCGTTCTTTGAAGAATATAGCTTCTGCCAATCTTGTAATCATTCTCGGATAAACGGACGGCGATGCAACGGGGAGGTCTAGTTAGAGAGTCCTTTTAGCCTCTCGTATTTTCTGCGTTTTCTTCTACTTCTTTTCTTTTATCTTCTTTCATTGAGCAGTATTTATTGAGTATTCTTCACGTATTGCGCACGAAATTTCATTTTACAAATTCTTTACGCAATTTAATCAAAGCTATATACGCGATTAAATTTCTTATTCAACATTTGTTTGTTTTTTATTGAAAATTATTAATTAATAAAAAAATAATAGTTTAATTTATATATCAAGTAAAGAATCATCTTCGCGTAAATAGCTCATACTTTTTTTGAGTTCTTCTTCCAACACTTGACTATGAATCTCGACCCCAGAATGAAAACGACAGAAACAGAAGGTGAGAAATATGAAGAAAATTCCAAAAGTTCCTTACGTGACCCACTTCCGTCATGACGCTCGAATAACCACGAAGACAAGGATAAGAACTTTTAATTGCGACAGAACTTTAGCAAACAAATCTGGGATTGTGCAACTCTTTTTCATCATCAGTTCTTGTAAGACGGGCCTGCCTCTTGTCACACCAATTTGTACGCACGCTTCCTTTTATCCTGTTTTATTCCTCGGAGTTTTGAACAACGTCTGTGTTATAATAACAACTTTTGCCTCGTTCAAAAACGAAGTAATTGAAAGTGATATTTGCAAGAATTTTGTAGTTTTATGTTTTAACGTTTTTTTTTTTTTTTTTTTTTTTTTTTTTTTTTTTTTTTTTTTTTTGAAATCTCTTCATTTTTTTTTTTTAATTCTATTTTTAGGCACCGGAGCCTTCAATCGAGCGATGCTCATGAACGTCGGCTACGTAGAAGCCCTGAAAGAAAGAACTTTCGACTGCTTCATTTTCCACGACGTTGACCTACTTCCGGAGGACGATAGGAATCTGTACACTTGTCCCGAACAGCCTAGGCACATGTCGGTCGCGGTGGATAAATTCAAGTACCGGTGCGGTTTTCTCTAGAGTATCTTTGCAAAAAAAAAAAATCAATCTTTTAACACACAAATACAAATTCCAAAATAAATTTGATTTTATATAAATACAGTTTATACATAGAAATCTATCGTTTTTTGGCACGAGGTAATTTTCTTTTTATTTTTTTTTCAAGTATTGAAATTACTTTAATATTTTCGTTTAGATTACCGTACGCTGATCTCTTTGGCGGCGTGTCCGCGATGTCGCGCGAACACTTCCAGCTGGTGAACGGCTTCAGCAATGTTTTCTGGGGCTGGGGCGGCGAGGACGACGACATGGCAAATCGCATCAAGGCTCACGGTCTTCATATCTCGCGTTATCCAGCTAACGTCGCACGTTACAAGATGCTCACGCACAAAAAAGAAAAGGCCAATCCGAAACGGTGAGTTTTTTTTTTTTTTTTAATGTAGTTTTTTGATATTCTTAGACTCTAATGTGGTAATAAGCACTCGCAAATATTTTTGGATCGTAGGTACGAGTTCCTGAAAACGGGAAAGAAGAGATTTTCCACCGACGGATTGTCCAATTTGCAATACGAGTTGAGCGACAAGCGAAAACCCAAGTTATACACGTGGCTCTTAGTGAAACTGACACCGCCGCAGCCTAGCTGATGGCTAACTTGGCTCGGCTGAAGACTCCTACACGTCACGTTTTATCTAGTGAGGTTCGATGCGATTGTACGCATCGCGAAAGCACATCCCTCTTGCAGCTTGCCATTCATCAAAGAAACAAGACTAATAAAATGAGAATCGTTTTTACGCGAACAGAACGTGTGATGTTAGTCGAAAACACTTCTCGCACTAAAAATGCGTCTCATTTCATCGATGAGGAGAGGGAATCCGAACGCGCCGGCCATTTTTTTTATCCCTAATTGAGTTCTAACGAATCACATATCTTTGACGGCGCAATAAGTTATATTCTGCAATCAAGTAAGTTGCAAAAGAAACAATTATTTTCTCATAGTAAATCTCTGCATTTAAAATCTCCGAATATAAATTTTGGCGATTTTTTTTATTTACTAGAAAGTAATATATTGTTACGACCGCCCGGTATGGATGTCTTCCTTGTTTGCAATTTAGTACAGTTTGTAATTGTGCGTTACGCAATAAAAGCGTTACATTTGTATCTCGCGCGAGTTGTTAATGGAAAACCGCGAGTTACGAGTGTAGTGTTCTTAACAATATTTATATATTTTTTTCTTGTATGTACAAGCAAAAGGAAGTTAATAAGAATATATATAATATTGGTTTGCGCGCATTGTGTTTCTTGGGAGGCGCATAGAAATGATGGAAATCCGAGATGAAACAACGTTAGACGTTAGGGATTAAAAAAAAAAGATACTTTTCCCCGTGTTCGAGTATTTCGCCGTTGCGTGAGGGTCTCGCTCTCAGCTTGTCCCTCCTCCCACAGTGGAAAATGGAGGAGGGGACGTTGTTACGTGATATATTTTTATTCCTCATATTTTTTTATTGCGACGATAGGGTAGAGAAGCGAGTAGAGAGTAGCATATGAGCTGACGTGCCAAAGGAGTGAATGTGCGCGTATGTATATGTATGTGCTGTTGCGAGAGAAAGAAGAGACAGAAAATTGAGAAGACAGATTTGCTCCAACATATTCAAAAAGCCGCGGGACATGATGTTTACGTATACATGCAAAGGGAGTTATTGCTACTTCAGCAAGTTTCTGATTTCACGGCTAATAATTCTATCAATAAATGGATTTTCGATTCGCTGATTTCTCTCTGAAAGTTAAAAAACGTTTAGTTGAAATGTGTTACTCACATTTTAGTCTGAAAGTTCGTGCCTTGAACTCAAATTTGAACACACAAAGAGAGAAAAAAAATGGCTTATTTGCACGGAGCTGTGAAGTGTCGAGGTAAGTTTATTTTGCGAGGGATTGATTTCTTGATGAATATATCATTGCGAGCGGCTGTGTCTGTAATGGAAAACTGGTACTTAAATGTTCGGCCGTGAACGAGAGTATCAGGCATATAAACATGTTTACATTTGCTCGTGTATATACATTTCATTTTTATACGCAAAAAAATAAAAATGAAAAGGATCCAAATTGTCTAAAAATTAATTTTTTGTTCTTATTTGTATTTATATCGTAAAGAATACTTCAGAAACTAAAGCTGACTAAAATTAAATTATAAGTTACGGATAGAGGAAAAAATTTGTATTTTTAATTTATTAGATACTTGTAAAACGTGAAAATAGTTATAGAAGATATCTATTGAATGAAATATTGAATATATACGCGAGCGATGAGGTTTAAATCCAAAATACGCAGTCAAGACTTGTAGAATACACCGAAGCTGCGTTTAGACAGGCGCAACACTGTTTGATTAAAACATGTATCGACAATACAGTCTTACGTTTCTTTGATGGCGTTGCAACAATGATACGAATTATTTCCAACTTATATTGCCAACCCATGTTGCGCCGGTTCTAAACCAGGCCTAACATATCACGTCTTGTCGTAGAAAAATTACATATGAGATTACATCATATGTGGACAAGTATACTTAAGCACTTAGGCGCAAACGGAAAGCACGGGCTGTGAATAATGCATCTTGTTGCGACTGAGGAAATACGAGGAAAAGCTTCTCGGATTTGTTCGGTGAAGGCAGTCAATGTCGTATTGTATAAAAGTCGCACATGTGTGTACGAGGATTCCGACAGACAAGTGCAAATGGTATAAACGTGTTATATGTACTGGGTGCGTTTGGTGCGTTCCTTTTATTGCCGTTCCTGTGATTTATAAACATTCCGAAGTTGTCCGATGTGAATGTAAATCAATCAGTTTGCATGTTCCGTTGAGTCGCGTTCTTCCGTTAATCTGACTAAATCTTCACAGATCTAACGTTTTTTTTTTTTTCAATCGTCTAACCGTGAATTTTCTCGCTATAAGATACACGACAATTTTTTCTTATTGGATAAAAATTGGAAACACACGCACGTCAGAAACAAATCAAAGACGCGCGTTTTCAAAGAGAAATTTACAACTTGACTTGAGAAAAGAATAAAATCACGCGACACAAAATACTTTAGATCTTATAGAAGCGACGAGTAATTTAGATTTATGAACATCAATGTCTTGGATATTTTCCTTTTCAAGAAGGAACACATTGATGTGCCGCGGTATGCGGAACAGATTAATTTCATGGAGAGCATACGTAATTTGTGTAATATTGGTGAATGAAAGATCTGTGGAGAATGATACAGAGTAAGCTTGCAAGTGTAGATTTGTACTTTTGTAAAACTTATCTTGAATACTCTTTGTTACATATTTACTACTTTGCTAACGGAAGTGAAAGACAAGCGGAGCGAACGTGCGAAGGAACAACAATTTAGGATATTACTCTAGAGTAGTTTATAAGAGAAAACGTTGTACTATATATATATATATATACATATATTATTATCGTTACCTTATAAAGGAAAAGTACCCAAAGTAATTTCAGATGAGAATGGAAATATAGCGAGCACGCTACGTGCAGAATGTTCCGCGTAAAGTAATCCCAGTTCGAGATATTAAAATATAATATAAGAAATAATTTATTTTTTTGGACTTACGTGATTGAAATTTTAATTTTTTATATTTTAAAGATGCAGGATTGAATAAATTTGCGCGATGTATTCTGTGCGTCTCACTAATCGTCGGACAAATTTATAGTACGTTCAAATTGCCGCACGAGAATCTCGCGGAGAGAGGAATCATCTCGTTCTATACATTTTCACGATTCTGAGAGCTTCCGTCGAGAAGATGAGATTTTTATACGTACTATTGTACATTATGCAGATGAAAAGTTTTGCGTAAATGCGGAATGTAACTTGGGAAGACTATGTATCGAGAGAGAAGAACTTCCGGACTATATGTATAATCGCGAAGGTTAAGTTTTACGATCCCTTTATTGCTGTATCACTATTGTTAAGAGATAAGAGATCGTGTTCGGTGCGCGCGCGCAGTGCAATTTATTTTTTTACACACGTTACCGCGAACTGCGGTTCTCGTGCGGCGTATATGACTGTTGAACACCACTCTCAGCAAAAACGAAATAGAATTAAAACGTAAGTACCGCGTATAAGAAGTAAAGTTTAAGTATTTATATGAAGAATAGATTGTGCGAGAGTAATGTCGAAAAGCGTCCGATGGCGCGATGTAAAAAAAAAAAAATATACCGTGTAATATATTATAAATACATCCATATATGTGCGATGCCGTCGTTAACTAGAAGCATCAGAAAGTTTTTGGAAAAAACGGACACGAGGACGTGTTATATCCATATGTTGCTGATAAGCAGATTGGACCGCGCAATGAGATAGTGAGGAAATATTTTGCAAATATATTCCAAAAAAAGACACACACATGCATAAATAGTATATATATGTTGCTAATAAGCTATATATATATATATAATCTTGAAACTTTTATATAAGAATATTTCTATAATGTTAAAACTAGAGATCAAGAAGTAAAGACTAATCTACACAAATCTGTGTACACAAGGACTCGTATATTGAACTTGAAAATAAATATTCTGAGAGTTTTCTCAAAATATTTGTACAACGGTTTGTTTAACACCAAAATGAAATATCTTTGAAACTGTTGAGGTATTTTGAAAAACTTTTCAGTATATTTATCTGGATATGTAGTTACGTAATTATAATAGTCCATTACAAACATTAAAAACGTTTTTTGAAATATTCGCAAAATATTTCCACTTTCCATCTCTCGGAGAAGAAAAATGTTCTCTTCTTGTGTTCATTTTGCGTCGCCGGTCCGATTGGCATCTTCTCAAACCAAAATAATTACAGTAACTGAGACAAAAAAAAAAAAACCACAAAGTTCTATATCGTCTAAACGTAATAATCTTCGATTTACAAAACTCGATCGCCAAGAAAAACTTGTGAGGCTCGATGACGATATAAATTGGCTAAGAAGAAAAGCTAAAAAATCTTAATTACATAAAATATAAATAATAAGTAAATTAGAATTATATCCTCGTGTATGTTATACTCTTGCTTCTTCTCAATTTATCAGAATACCTGGAAGGCTACTCCCTTCTCACAGGTTACATTCGTGATGTAATGGAACAATAAATTTCTGTTAAAACACACATTTATCTCTTTTTTTTTTTTGGCTACTTTAACGTACGTGTTATTTCAACCTTTCCTCCCAATTGTGAACGTTAAATACAAATTATTACAATATTAATGAACTCATTGATGTTTTTTTAGTTTTTATTTTAAAGGATATATTGTGTAAAGAGGAAGAGATTTCTTTTTATTCTCTATTAAAATAGGATAGATCAATACAAAATGCACATAGGATATGTATGCGTATATTTGATTTTTGTTTACTTATATACTACGAACATTTAGGGCAAAAATGTATGTAACACACACACGCACACGTATATTTTTTTGTTTAATAATACATAAGTACTGACACTAACGGACAGTGAATTACGATATGGATGTATTATATTTCTTATATCCTCCTCTTCGGAGAACGAACACAGCTCGATCGACCGTGCGGCGAGAAGTCTGTTCGAGTTATCTTATTGAAAATAACCAAAACAGAGTTTGTGCAATCGACCACGCTAAAACGAAATATTAGAACAGTCGAAAAAGACAGACAGTTCTCGCGACAATTATTATTACAGTTACGATCTCTAAAACCAGATTTCACGTATATTCAATATATATTTGCGAGAAAGATTTAACAATCGATAAATTAAATATTTCAATATAGTTAACGGTTAAACCATGTTAACTCGTCCCTCGATTATTAGCAATTCATTCTTACGGCCTACCTCTCTACTATGCGCACATATTTATTCACGAAGTATTAACATTAACATATTCAAGTTTTAATATGTAATATATGTGAAGTGGTGCGGTAATTTAACGGCGCTTGCGCGCTTGCTCCGTCGACATTAATAATAAAGTTGTTTATCGGCGCGAGCAGAAAGTGTATCTCATTAATTTAATTTTTTCGGGGAGAATAATATATATATATATATAAAATTTACATAAAAAAGTACATTAAAAATAATGCGGTGTTTTTATATGTAGCTCTTGCGAAACTACTTTAACGAACATTCAACTGAGAAATAGTCCAGCTATTTAATCAAGGAGTCTCGATTATTAACAATTACATAAAAAATCATTTCTCTGTCCAGCATCACAGAGGGAATCGATCTACGAAACCTGTCTTTTTGATTTTTTTTTCTTTTTTGTCACAATAATATATTTTCAACAAAAATAACAAACACGTATTAATTCTCTGGAATATTATAAAACATGGTTTTGTACAACAGACAGAGAGAGAAATTAAACTCAAACACATTCAAAACGCTAGTAAACATGTAGCATTGGTATTGAATCGCCATGATATAGAATCGAAAATTGTACATTCTTAAACTGTTCTCTCAAAGTATTTTTACCTTTCGTATTTGATGATCGTGAAAAACGGTATATAAAAAAAGCGAATGAATCTAGACTCACATTCTCATTTAGCGACATTTATGCGATATGTATTTAAGTTTAAGGTAATTGGCACAGAAAAGGTGGTATATGTGTGCGTATATTTATATATATTATATAATATATGTTATACAAAATCTATTATAAATTGCTACCTCGATTATCGTAATATCTGTGCTATGGATCGAGAGTTCTTTAAAGTATCATTCTCGATAAAATACATTCTCCTCTCTCTCTTTCTTTCTCTCTCTCTCTCTCTCTCTCTCTCTCTCTCTCTCTTTCTCTCTCTCTCTTCTGTGCTCTCTATCAACAAACATAAAACTCCGAACTCTGAACAAAGTTCCGTCCAGATTACATCACACAAAAAATAGACGTCACCCGTCGCGTCTCCGCTGTTTTTCTTCGATAAAAATGATGTTTCGATAAAAATACGCGTAATCGGCAGAGATATATCCTCGCTTCTCATATCGACTTGTATTCGCGGCAATCGGCAGGATAAGGACCTGATGGATCTACTGATCGGTCTTTTTGGGTTGGCCGTTATTCGAAAGATGCTTCCAGAGACCCGTAATCAACGGCACGTCTCTGAAGCTATCGGCCGTCGGCTATCCTGCCTGCTACGAACACATCAGATCGACCGACCTGGACTCGCCCCAGGCATTCTGCATTTTGAAACTGGCGCTCGGTCGGGGCACTACATGATGAGACGGGGCCGACGTTGCCGTGTGATGCCTGAGTGTAGTCATGGGAATACTGTTGTTAACTGCCGCGTTGCTCTTCTTCTGACTCTTCTTCACGTCCGAATCCTCTTCAAAACACACCTGGGAACAAATCAAGCGCTCACGCTACTCGGCAAATTCTAGCTTTCTCTCTCTTGAGATATTTTATTATTAAAAGTAAATATAAGGTTGACTTGTATCTTATAATTAGTTTATATTTGTATTTGTATTTTATTTTCTTTTAGCACGCAAATATTAAAATCTCTTGGTTTAATTAATTTAAAAAAAAAAGTAGAAAGCAATTTATGCGTTTGCACTTCCGAGAAACAATATTTTATTCCGAACGTTTGTTCGCGAGTTTTCATAAAACATATGCTGACGTAAAGTTGTATGCCGAGTATTTTAATTAATTTGCAAACACATTTTTTCCGCGAAGAAATGCCCTCTTCTCTTGTATCTGCTGATGCGATGCAACTCATTGACGAAAGGAACATGGATATAGCAATGCGATATCGATGCAGTGCAGTGCGACGAGAGAAAGCTCAAACACCGCAGAATTATAGTATCACTTTGCTGATCACAGACGGCCTGTAATGGGCGCCGTAGACGACAACGACACGTCAAAGAGACGCTCGTCCGTTTTATCACTCACCCATGAATTTCCCGTAGGTTTTGAGTCGTTCGACAGATCAATTAGAAGATTCTTTTGACTGTCGGCGCGTCGCTGTTGTCCGTTTTGTTTGTTTTGTTCATTGATCTTACCGTTGCTGATCTTTGTGTCGCTTGCGTTCTTCTTCTCATTGTTTTCTACAATCACACAGATCGATTAATTGGAACTTTTATGATTGAATAAATGTAACCGCAATTTGAATGCTGCATTGTCATCTCGAGATGAGCAGAAAATTTTTATTAAAAAAAAAATACATAATATTCAAATAAAAAAAGAGAAATCTAAAGCGCAGCATAAAATCTGACACAGTTTTTGTGATAAAAAGTATTGCGCTAGACAAATAGAAATGAATTTAATTAATAATGAATTTAATTTTGCTAGGTGATGTAAAAAAATATTCATTTTTGAAATGTGTACAGAACTACATGTGAACTTTCCTAAAGCTTCAAGCGCGCAAATATCCGATGCAATATTCAGAAGCAAAATATTTCCATGCAATATCCATAAAATGAAAATGTAAAAATCCACTTTAGAAATCAATAAACTTTCAGTAATACGAATACCACGAATCAAATCGATATTTTATGAAAATATATTTATCAAATTTACCGAATCTCTTTTCTCCAGCGACGATTTTATTGTTTGGAACGCAAACATGTTACATCGATTTTACAAATTTTATAAATGTCGGAAGCAATATGTGAAATTAGAAAAAATCATTATTAATTAAATAAATTTAAACAAATAACGTTTCGACTTTAATATCAACTCATTATCGGTCGGTAACAAATCAACAAACACTTCATAATAAATAATACGTTGAAAAATATAGTACATAATTTAATCTAACATCTTAATTATATAATTTAATCAAAATGCTGTCAAATTAGTTTGGCTCTTCTTAGTACTTGCTTTACTTGTAATAATTTAACCTCATAAATGACAAGTTGAACAGACTGGATCTATGAGACTCATACGATTTTAAAATTGAATATCTCCGAAAAATGAATATTTTTTCAATTTTGATTTTTTCAATCGAAAGTTTGAACAATTCTGCGTCAATTAAAACGAACCAACCAAATTGAAAAATCTCTAGTAGTTTTCAAGATATAAGCGTTTAAAAAAAAACAAATTTTTTTTTTACATTGAATTACGTCGAGAACCCGAAGACACCTTTCACAACAATATATTATAAATAAATTTGAAATTTTTCTACATGAATTGAAAAAGAGTGAATAAAATAAAAAAATCAAATCAAATCAAATAAAAAAAGAATCAGCAAATTAAATTAAAATATATTGCAAATAAAATATTATCGAAAACTGAATGCAATTAAAAATATCCAGAACTGCAATCCTTTTATTGACAACTATTTTTTGTTGATTTCGTCACAAGGATGTGTGTCGTGAGTGTGATATGACGTGCGGTAAATGTGCGTGCACGTGTGTGTATATGCGTGTACCCCAATATTAACGCACAATTTCCTGACTCAACTCGCTCTGTGCCAGGGAAGCACCACGTAATATCCGCACTCTCGGCGGGCTAAGTACAAGCGCATATAGGCACTGCATTTCACGATTGTCGCAACTACCTAGTAGTCGGCACTGCGCCTTTATACCCTCGCGCGAACGCTTGAGATTAAAGCAAGCGGCAAAACTTTTCCAAAGTACAGAAACGAGAGTGAACCCCGTTTCTAATTACTGCGACCCAGGCAACGATAAGGTACTTTATTTTCTCAAAGTCCAATTGTGTAATTTGCGTAGCTTTGAATATTTTAGCTTTTTTTCTACTCGGATGACTGTATAACTTAAGTAACTCTTTCCTCTTTTTATTAACTAAATCTCTAATTACACAACTAACTTGCCCTTTCAAGATCTCACTTTTAAGCTTTTAAAGCCATGCTGAAAATTGCTACAGTAGTTCTTCAAGGTTTTATTAAGAACAATATAATTTCTTCGCTGCGATCTTTCTTTTGATTTCCGTTTAATTTCCGTTTTAGACTTTCTTTTATTTGTACGGAAAGATAAGAACTGCTTCTTCGTCGACTTTGAAATATTACGACGATCGCGCAAACGCACAGATACATATATATATGTACTAAAGACAGACAATACGAAAAGCTTTCTCACCGATCCTGCCGTCCGTCAAGGGAGGACTCTTATCCTGCGCGTGATGGATCCTAGGATCGGACTGCGACAACTGCCACGCCTGATAAGCCGTGTTGAAAGCCTGCGCCACAGTTAGCGTCACTGTCTGCGCCATTTTTCTCTTCGGACAGAGAAACGCGTGGCACTCCATTGTCTCGTTCAGATTTGTCGCGATGAACGCGAACACATGATCGTGCGTTGCGTCCGCCGAACAATACGAGATCCTTCGAGAGACACAGAACAGACGTAAATATGTGAATAATGATATTACTTGCCATACAACTGAAGAAACTTATCACTTCCATTGTTATCTTGTCAAATAGCAACCAACACAGTTTGTTATATCGAAAAATATATTCTTCTCTCTAATAAAAACAAGTAAGTATACTTCTGTGTTACATAAATTATTGTTTTAACGCGTGATAATAACGTCGTTCCTATTAATATCTCAAATTTTCATGCAATCTCATACGATATGCAGCGAATGCAAATCTATACGCCTATCGCTCGCGGCGGCAATCTCTTCCGTCGCACAATAGCACGCACCCCCGTGCACATTATAATATATAGTAGTCGAAAGTTTGCCGGAGGATACACAAGCTTATCCTAAGGGAAGCGAGAATAATATGCAAAAGGCTTGCGTGTGTGTGTGCGCGCGCGCAGGATACAACGCGAACGCTTATAAAAGAACGGATACAGTGATATAACCGACGGTTTAGAGAGACGCGTCGCTCGAGAAACTCTGAGAACTTTTTATCGTCTACTTTAACTTTTACTTTTTCGAGAAGCTCGGTTTTACTTTAATAAAATAAACGTATGTTATATAAAATAAAATAAAAATATTATTCGATATTATATTGACATGTGTATTATATTTTATAATCATTGAACTTTTCCAAGAAATATTGTTATATTTATATTATCATTAGATCTTATTTCATTTCTTTCTCTTTCTTTCCGTTTAAAACCGATGATTTTTTCTCTCCTTTCTTCTCTCCTCTATTTTATTTTTTTATTCTTTTTCTCTGCGATGAACGTGCGCCTCTTTCTGATTTACAATATCGCAAAAGTTTTCAACGTTCCGCAACGAACAGAAGTTGATAATATCATCGAGCGCCAAAATAATACTCTTTAACGCTTTTAATCTCGCGGCTTAATTTCATTCAGCCGCGCGTCTTTACACGCCGGATAATTAACTCGTCGTTAACGGCACCGAGAGAAAAAGAGAGAGAGAGAGAGAGAGAGAGAAAGAGGAGGGAGAGGAAAGGACGAGATTAGGGGAATTTATAACCGGAACGTCAACCCTCGCTGCTCGCCCCGACCTTTTTCGCACGCCCCCGTAAAATTTCTCGTTCGCCACTTCAGCGCACTCCTCCTCTCTCCTCCGACGAGTCGGAGCATTATACGCCGGTAAAGAACAAACCCCCGACGGCGGATTCTCGTCGCGCTGTAACAATGGTAACCGCCGTCCTCGTCCGGAATTTCGCGTCCAGACTAACGAGTCCGCGGAATCATTATCGCGAAAACGCAAGAAAAGTTTCTTTTGTCCGTTCGCGTCGTAAAGAAATTTCGCGAGACTCGCTTTCTCCACGCGCGTCTTCATTCAACGTTTTTGTCGCGATGGTATGCCGCATTTGATTGACTCGCACTTTGCAACATAAAACTGAACGTGTAATGTATATAAGGATTGATCTTCGGAAAAACAATTTTTCAACTTCAACATTTATAAAAATTTATGACAGGTACACATTGCATTTGCTAGTTTCTTTCATTTTCCGCTAACACAATTAAATTTGTTTAATTCTATACTAAGAATATTGTTTCTTTTTTAGATTGAAAACATTGTGTTCGAACAATCGCTTCGAGTAATACGAGATAGAAACTCTATCGAAATTACCGTTATCGACAAATACTCGCGATTCTCGGCAATATTAGTCGCTGATGTGACCAAAATATCGCGCTATCTGCCAATCGAACGGGGTGTGATGAGCGAAGGAGAGAGAAGCTGCAGAACCAGTAACAAATCGGAAATAGCCGCGCGGATAATTTCCCGGAACGAACATCGCGTCCGTCCCTCGTCGGTCAACGCCATCATTACATCGGATTTTCGATACGCTCGCAGCCGCATACGTATCGAATATAATTCGTCGTGGCTTCTGTAGAATATTCGACAGAAAATCGTGACAGATTTCACATATATAACATGATTTAATTATTAGTCGAACGAATTTATTATATAATTTCGTGAAAAAATAATTAAATATTATTTTATTTCGCTATTATCGTATTTCTGATAATTTTTTTCTCGTTAAGGAACCATGTTAATTTTTTTACAGAAAGAAGCTTAGAAGAAATATGTGGTTTCGTCGCATTTTATATAAGACAGCGTTAATAATTACAATATAATTACTAACAAAGTTGATCGTTTTTCTCAAAATTAAATTGGTAATTCTCTATCTGATACACAAATCTTTGCAACTTCTGTGACTACGATGTGATTCTGCGATGTATATAATTTTTTTTACCTGTATATCGACACCTGAAGCTGATCTTCTTCAGTGGCCAGGTCTGTCATTCTGATTCCCCTCAAGCTCACAGCCAAAGAGACTCTTTGCAGCTTCTTTCCGCTTGCTTTTGCCTGTAACAAAATAAATCGAGAAAAGCGCTTGAGTAATAAAAATTTGCGGCGCATAGTTAAACCTGTGAAACATAGTGAACTCCGATTACGATTTTTTCCTGAAAATCAAATATCTTATAAGTAAATCGTGGAGTTCTCTCTCTCTCTCTCTATCTCTATCTCTTCTCTTCTCATCGCTTCATGGCAATGCAATTACGGAGCTTCACGCGGATTAAACGGTCCATTTAACGATTAAACCCGCGCACAGAGATTCTGTCACCTTAATCGCAAACGTCGCGCGAAATTCCAGAACGTTCTCTAATCCTGCGATTCTCGAGTAGATTCTGTATCGGCCTTCCTTTGTAGCAAATACGTAATCACGAAAGGATACAGGTTCGTCTAATCTCTACTTAGCAATCTGATTAGACGGCTTTCAACATAGTACAAACGTGCTCGCGAGATGTTATTGCCTCTCGAGTCTCTAAAGAAGAGAGAGATAGACAGATAGATAGATATTTATTTATTTAATGAGACCGAAATCTCTTCAGAGAAATGCAGAAAATGTACGCAGAAAAATGTATGTATTTTCAGTTTTATGTAATAAATTATTCTATAAACTGAACCGGTCACGTTTTTTTTTTTTTTGACAAACTTTATGAGACGTGATTGTTCGAACAGCAATAAAAATATTAACAACAAAATATAAGAGTGAAATTATCAGTAAAAAATCATCACTAAATAATAACAAAAAAAAATAATTACAATATATATATGTTTATGAAAGAGCAGAGTGGCATTTATAACGTGTGTCTAATGTGTTTCACTCCACCTCTATAAATGTCCTCTCTAAAGGTTACTCAGCATAATTTAGGATATCTTGTAATAGTTTCTTGCTCACAAACACTAAATAAATAGCATTATCAGCGAGAAACTTGCGGGCAGAAGTTTCGTGATGGAAGCCGCGTTGCTACATGATACCGCGCTTGTAGTCGCGAACACACCGAGATGCTATTAGACGCGCAAACGCATCTCCGACTTAGCGCGACAAAAACATCTGAATTAGCTAACTTTGAGAGGCAAATTATTTCGAAACGAACAAAACATGATAATTTCTCATTTTGTACAGAGTAGTGTAGAAAAGACACGCGATTCCGTACAAAAGACACGCGATTTTGCGCAAGTGTATCAAAATTACATCAACATTAATTATTTTACAACATATGACAATTTGATATTTGATGTTTTCGAGGTGTATTACGAGAAGATGATTTTTGAATCGCATTAGTGTCATTTCTATATCGACGTTTTGTGAACATTTCGGTTCACTTCATCAAGAGTTCAAGAGTTCAGTTTGATACTACACTGATAGTATTAATGCTAATAACATTAGTACAGTACAGTATCAGACTGCTCTTGAATTCTGATAAAGTGAACTGAAATTGTCCACGACTTCGTCGGTACGTAAAACCGAGTATACTAACGCGATTAAAACCTGAAAAACCCGGAATACATAACAACTCCACAGATGTGTTGTGTCTCTTTTCAATCTGTGAAGTGAATGCAACGTCGCGACGAAGAACAGTAATCGGGCGCGATTACACAGATACAAAAAAAAAAAAAAAAGAAAAAATCAATCGGAGAAGAACGAGATCGGCGGGGCAATTAGCGCGAAGACTAAGAAGGTTTTGATTGAAAAGTTTCCGACACGAAATACTACTGTGCCGCGCGCGCGCGCGCTCACGGAAAACTTTCAAATCGCTCCACAAATCGAGATTCGTTCGTCGTTCGCAAAAAATCTACAGTCGGTTTGTTTCGACGTTGCAAACGCGATATACATGAGTTGCATAGCAAAAAAACTTTCGCCGAAACAAAAAGCAGCGCAGCACAATACGGACAGTTAATCCAAACGCAATGAATATTGCAGATGCATTTTTGCTGCATTTACATGACAGGTAAATTTGTGCGTGGTGTAGCGTGGATGTATTGTGAAAATAATAAATTAAACTTATCGCGAAAATGAGCAAACTTGCGCGCTTGCGTCGAATGCATTTCCTCGTTAATGACTGCGTCGGAAATTGCCGAAATACGTACATACATACATTTACCGCTTACTGCAATCCCGGGCCACGTCGCTCGTGTAATCTCGCCGGTATCGTAATCGCTTCGAAATTGGAATTATATATAAGACGCGCGCGCGCGCGCGCGCGCGGCAAAGTTTCGTTTATTAATTAATCATGTTCCTCCTCGTGAGTCGCCGTGAAATAGCACAAATTCTCGTTTAGTTCTCGATTACGCTATTCAAGGCTTTCGCTTGCTGAACCAAACAGACAGAACTTCGTATCCCCGGATGTAAAATTGAGTTTATTGTTCGGCCACTCGTAACTTCGGACGAACTACTACTTGTCCGTGAAAGGTTTGCTTGTGTTCAAAGAGACTTAATAAAGATCATTTTGACAAATACCAGCTATCAGTGACTGTGACGAACATTTGACGTAATTACATTGATTACGGATAACATTAGGTTAGGGTAAAAAGCAGTAAATCTGTCGGAAATATTTTTCGTCAGTTAACTCTCGTGTTTCTGATGAAAATCGTGTATAATGCGATATTTCTGTGGCAAAAGTGGAACGAAAAAAGAGGTAAAAAAACCCATCTCGTCTGGCGCAATATTAGTGACGTTCATAGTATTTCGTTTACAAAGTCGAAGAGAGAGAGAGAGAGAGAGAGAGAAAAAAAAAAATTAACGGATGAGCCGAAGTTGGATCAAACAAACGGTTTCTGATTAATGTCGTTTTTTGTACGCGGTATATTCGCTTTTCGTTTTTTTTCGTTTTTTTTTTTTTTGCTGTACATTTTTGAAACGACTGCGCGAAACGCAGCGTTACTCTGACCTGCCGCGTTATAGAATCTTCATCGCCGTGGTCGGCAAAATACGGATGTTGTTAAATAATCGTACGTAAAAACGGGAAAAGAGAATTTGCTCGGCGAACGTCGTCAGCCGCGACAGAGACAAAGCGACGAGTGAACGTGGCGTAAAGTAATCACGATTCATTTTCATTAGCTTTATTAACGGAGCCGCGGCTACGCGCGGAATTAGTACCTTGCAATTTCAATTAAATTCTCTTCACGGCGGCCGCGTCGGGAAAATGGTTTAAAGTAAATTACGCGACGCGATACAATTTTGACGATAAATAATACAGTGGCAATCTCTCCGCGGCGCGGACTGTATTCCGTCCTCCTCCGTCTCTCTTCCCATCTCTTTCAACAAGCGACGCATTTGTTAATAATTGAAAATACTGAACAACGTTATACATGTACATCCAACGCGTATATACGAGTTATAAATACGTCACGCGCAAATTGCGTTTCAAAAAGTCAGAAAATTTGAAATAAACTCTAAAATATGAATCTGTGAGTTTTTTGCGCACATAAAAAAAAAATTGTTTTTAATTCGATTGCGCAAAAGTGAGAGTCGTCCACAAAAATAGATTTTTTTTTCCAAACATAATACATTAGTAGTCTCTTTATGTTAGAAAGTAATGGAAAAGGCTCGAGTATACACGTACCATGGTGACCACAGTCTTGATAGCCTCCGCCGTGGTCTCCTCGCTCGAGGGCGTCTCGACAAGGGTGCTACCCAAATATTTGAGGGTGAACCTCGCTTCAGACGCGTCCTCGGATTCCTCCCCGTGCGTGGTGCTCGTCGAACCACCACTCTCCACGCACTCGCGGCTGTTTGCCAGCGCCCATTCCTCGCATAGTTCTGGAAGTTGAATATAAAGTTAATTTGTTGTGATATTGAAACACAAAATCGATTCGCACGCACAATTTAATCTGCCAGAAAATCGTTCTTCGGAGTGAAAAAGCTTCTCGAAAAAGCCGCTGTAATTTTTAAGTCATCGCGCAATGTTTCTCGCGAAACTTATATTCTCTGTATCGCGTGAATTTGAGGAAACGTCAAACATTAACGATAAAGAAAAAAAACATTAACATTGTTTTTTGTTTTAATGTTAAAAATGTTGAATGTTCGAGGAAACTCAAAGAATGTTCTTTTATCAAATTAAAAGACAGGATTGTGTTTAAGTCGAACAATTGGGATTGTAACCGCTGCTTGTATCAAAAACACGTGCGCAAGTCTGGCGAAGATAAATGTTGCGATGGACGAGAAAGGCGGATGACCGACGTAACATTAGTCCGAGTCTGTGCAACCACATAAGCCAACCTCGTTGTCTGTCTACTCCGTGACGGGAATAGCCGCGCGTGTGTAGCAATAATAGATGTGTCAGGTGTATGTATATGGCACATATCGCCTGGAGAGTCTCTCTTTCTCTCTCTTCCCACAATCCGAAACTCGTCGAATGATTAGTAATGGTTACTTCGCAAATCGATAAATCACAATAATGCGGTAACATCGACGCACGATGCAAGCTTTGATTTAATAAAAATGCAAAACCAGAAGCATTTAAATAACAAAAGAAAATCTATGTGTGTTATAGAAAATTGATAAAAAATTCGTGGAAATAAAACATTCTAAAAAAAAGAATTCATTATTTTCTTGACGTGAATTATAATGTCGCAGAATGGAATAAAAGACAATCTGACTTCTGGAAGAAAATTCGCGCGCGCGCGAAATAGTTCTATCATCGCAATTTGTCTTTGTCGTAAGTTTTCAAAATAGTATCAATAGAATGGCTGTGTGTTGCTGCGGAAAAGTCTGCAAGTTCGCGAGTGCCGAGTTATATTGTCGGATGCAGAACTTTACTCGCGGAACAATTCTGTAAAAGCGGCGAAAACTCGTTACCACTTGTGACGTGCCGGGACGTCTCTCGATCAAGAAAAGAAAATCGAGTCTCGCGCGATTCCAATACACACGCGCGCGCACACACGCACGATATTTCTTTTAAAGAAATGTATTCCTTTAAGGCTAAGGAAGTTAGCGAGTCTCGCAATACATCAAAAGTTTTCTACGCTACCGCGACAATACGCACCCGACTTTTCCACTTTGACTCGCAGCTCCTCGCAAATCGATCGAAAGAATAAAAAAGTTGAAATATAAATCGAGCAGTTCGATGGAAGAAAGCTATCACAATTGTATAAAGAGTGTCTTCTCAATAACATATATATTCTCTCTCAATTAGAGATTCTTCAAGTACTTTCCAAGTACTTAAAAATTGATTCTATAAGAGATTTTATGTATTTTATATACACACACACACACATGTACAAAAATGTTTCTCAATGTGTACGCGCAAGTACTCGTAATTTACTGTTGGCAGATAAAAATAGGCAGTAGGCGTTTCCGCAAATCGTGGAACGTGGGAGGAGACACGAGAGCGCAGGAAACTCGAGTACTCGCTGAACCCATTTGTATCAATTTGTCAATGAGCACTTCCTGCGTAGGTTTTTTCTTCGTATCACGGACTATCAATCTTTAGCAAATGTCTCCTAACGTCTGTGTAAATGGTTCTGCCTGATTTTTACAATAAAAGTGGCGACTACGCGCTACAATAAACTTTCGTACAAAAAAGAAATTGCTTTTTTTATGTAAAAGATGGATTTTCGAAAGGATATCGTTCTCAACAAATTTAAAAGAGTCGAAACGTTTTGTGATAATAAAATAATACGTTGAAACATTTGAATTTGTTAAGTCAATTCGAAAGGATAGCTGGATTTCGTACGGTTGCTGCATCTTTTATCAGAAATAATTTGCAACAACCGTTTTCCAAATGTATCTTATATGCTTTAAGTCATCATTTTCTAATTGTTATTTTTTTTTGTATTACTGTTAATTGGTTAGGCCAATAAGAACAGCTTCTCAGCTGCTGCCACGTCATTTAACAAATTTATATATAGTTTTTTTCATCATTACTTTGTTATCATTATTTGTGCTTTTTAAAAAAGTTATTATTATTATAAATTATTAAATGTGCATATTTTATACAATTTACGTGAAAAAATATTTCCTGTAAAACTACACATTGGTCTTTACATTATAATTGATTCTTTTTGCGCGATATTTTCCGGAGAGAAACATCCGTTACTTCCGACACGGCGGAACTCAGACCGGGATGTGATGAATTTAGACCGGGACGAGAAATTTATATATTCCACGGATGTTCTCTTCCAGAGAATAAGAAGAATTGACTTTGGAGCCCCCGCGCGCGATCGACGAGTATTTTAATATTTCAACGGGCGCGTTGACGGGGCACTACGTGAAAGCTATTCCGCGCGCGACGACGCCGCTGACGGAAACACAGCGCCATCCGGCGCTGAAAATTTATGCGAACCGCTTCCATCCGGCGCGACGAAGCGTGTGAAAAACCGATATGTATGGTGAACGTCTCTAAAATTCCATCTATAAAGCCAACGACGACGAGTGTGTCAAGAGCATTTCCAGAATGTCTAGTAAATTCATTCCATTTCTCGGAAGAAGAAGTTTTAATGATAAAGTTACGCGAACTGTTAATTGATTTTGTATGAGAATTTACGACCGTTAAAATCGACCTATAAATGCCTTCGAACTTCTCTTTGACACCCTGTATAAATTTCCACTTAAATGCGCGAGCTTTAAGAACGACAAAGTTATGGCGGTTTTACAAGGCACTTCGATACGAAAGTATCTCGTCGATTCGCAAGTTTTTATGCGCATACAAGATAGTGGAAGACCCACCGAGAGAAGCGTGCAACTTTTGCCGCTTGAAGATGGAAAAGATCTTGAGGCTCGCTTTATCCTGCAAACTGAAGAAGTTTCCTGTCATAGCTTTCCCTCTCTCTCTCTCTCTCTCTCTTTCTCTTTTACTTCTTTTTTTTTTTTCTCAAGCGAAAGCAATTTGCGAGGACGTCCTTTCTCGCCTTGAAAACGCAGACAACTTGGAATTGGGCCAATTACCTCGAGTTTTTCAGTAATTAGTGTAACGGCTGTGGAGCGACTAATTGTATGTTAGAGGGCGAGGAATTAACCATTCGAAAAATTGAGAGAGCGCACGCAATGTATGTAACTACCTTGGATTCGCTGGTTTCGTTTGATTCGAAAGCGATTTTTCCGCGTGCGCGAATTTATTAATAAGTACTGCGCTCATCACGGCGATGCATTTGCATCAGCGACGCAACGAGCGCAATGTGGGAAAAGCGAGTCTCTCTTTCGCTTAGTTCAAATATAGACGAAAAGTTGGTTCGGTATTATGAAACGCTGCAAATAAAATCTTTGTCGGCAACCTTTTAGCGCGCGCGAGATATTCCGCGCGGCCGTGACGCGTGCGCCTCTCTTTTATTTCTTCCTCGCTTCCGGTCTGATTCGTCCGGTGTATACGCGCGGGAGTTAACCGGGGATGAAGGAGAGGAGAAACTTCGTTCCTCGGGCTCGTTGCGCGCCAACGAGATTTTCTTCTCTCGTGTTCAATGCATACCGCTCCAGAACGATAGGAATGGAATTGATGTTCTTCTCTCCTCTCGCTCTAACACCGCGAGCTTTCTTGCGAATTCGTTCGTGGATTCGCAGACTTACATGCTGGACGATGAGAAATATCAGGTCGCGAGACCAGTGGGCCGGTTTCGTGAAATAAAATATATATATTTGTCAAGTTAATAAGATATATAGCAACAATGCGATACAAAAATATCACATACGTAACGTAAGGTTTTTAATCCTAATTCCGTAAACTCCGGACGTTAATGTCCGAGTGATTCTTGAAAATAAAAAAATCTTATTAAATATTTAGTGAAAGAATTTCTAAAAACACAACAAAAAATATATCAAAACTAATGTTATCTGTTTAGTTTAAAACGTTGAATAAAGCCCCATGAATTTTTACAGAGTTTTTGCAACATTTTAACCAGTAAACAAAATTGCGTCGGACATAAATGTTCTAGGATTTACAGGATATATACTTAAAAAAAAATGTTTACAGGATTAAGGTTAAATCTCGAAAAATTTAGACTCATTGGTCGTTAAAAGGAATTTTACTTCTCGTTCTAGAAAAATTCCAACTTCTATTTTAAAAAGTATCGTTTTCTCTATGTGAAATGAAGCATTGGAAAATTTATGCACGGAGAAAAATACAAAGGATGACAAGCTTTCTCGTAATTCGAATAAATGCGAAATGAGATTCAGTGAAAAAACAAATTTGTGTCAAAAAATATTAAAAAAAAAAACAAAATGTATGTGTTCCGCGCAGCTCGCGCGTAAGGGATTATCGGGATTAAATGTCTTCCATCGTCGCGCTCGCCAAAAAAGAAAAATATCCGACGCGCGCTCACTGCGCTCTTAATACCGGGTAGCTTGCGGATCAATGAATGCTCCGCGCGCTGTGTTGTAAAGACGGAAAACGCGGCGAGAAAGAGAGGTAACGAGGCGGCTGCAGTTGCAACGAGACGAACGAACGAGAGCGCGATTTCGCATTTCCGTTGACGGTGATCCACCATAGAATTTCTATTGAATACGGCTTTCCAGCCGAAGAGCTACGCGTGTATCCGTATCGGTATGTATTTTCATTCTGCAACACACACACACACACATATACACACCACAATCGCTGGATATATTTCGCGTTTTATTCTCATACATGAACACTCTCATACATGAAATTTTGTTTCCTGCGCAAAATCATACGGTTTTAAATCCCGTAAAGCTCGGAGGAATTATCGACAAGCGACGCGTGTTTCTTTATCTCGCCTTTTACACTTCGCAAATCTGTGAATAAAAAAAGAGAGAAAGAGTAGTTTTATTTATTTTTTCCGCGCTCAGATTTCACACATGTTCCTACA